TCCACTGCGGCCCTCTCAGCAGCGTCGCCTCCATAGCTGCGATGAGAACGCGCGGGTGAAAGGGGCCTTGCCGCGCGCCGGGCACGCAGCGCGTCCCGATACGCCTCCACCAGCCGCTGGGCACGAGAGTGCTGTATCTTCCTCCTGCAATTGACATTCTTAGACACATGCGACTGGAGCGTGTTGTCGTCTACGTGCTCCAAGCCGCATGCCTCGCATGCGTTACCCAGCATCGCAAGAGGTGGCGCGAACCCTAATTGCAAATTACCGATAAACACTGCCACTCTTGAAGAACCTCTAATGTACCAGCAAACACCTCTGTCATGGTAGGGCCACCCGAATCGGTGACGCTGACAAAGTTCACGGTGTAATACGGTGAATGTGTACCCGTTTGTTAGTATCATTGCATGAATCTGATCAAGCATGAGATATCATCGGTTTTGGACGGTTGAATTGGCCCTTCACACCGAAAGCTCTTCCCCATCAGATCATCGCTCTGCCACTGGGCTCAATGTACAGCTCAACCTATGCAACATGACCGCACCCAAACCACACCCCAACACTTCACTGTACACTGGCGCCATCCCGACCACTGATCTTACACGTTATCGCCACTGTGCGGATGTTTGGTGGCGCACAACAACCGAATGACGGTACTACATGTGTCTACACCTCTAACGTGTGTGGGCAGGAGTGCGCAAGGATGTGCTTACGTGGCGGATAATGTCCGTGTACAATGACGCTCTCAGTCATTCCAGCGTCCATCTAGAGTAAGCTATTAGAGCTTGTATTTGCGGCACTAAGTCAGTTGGTGTACTCCATCTCTCAACCATGGCTGAAATGGCCATGCTACTGGCTCAGATAAAGGCTCATCCAGACGACGTGTACTGCTTCGTTGAGGAGCCTCTCTTTCCCACCAGGCTCCCCTTCCTTCACTCCGAGAATGGACACGATGATCCGCTGCCCGGCTGGCGCATCAATGTCTGCTTCCTGTTCAATGCAACGGGGACAATCATGTGTCCGCCTCTTCTGATATTCCGCGCTGACGACGCGCGGGCACAAGGCCTTGAAACACCCCAGGATTTTACCGTGTTCGTGCGTCACAGCGTGGACGGGTTCGTCACGCCCGAGGTGCGATGTCGTCTGCTCATACCCGGCCTAGTTTGTGGAATGCCGTTGCATTATAATCATGCAATCCCATATGCTAACATGACTGCCCCGTCATTGCGTGCTTCTCTTGTCAGATATTCACCGAGTACCTGGAAGCGTTGAACGGACGGTCGTACTCCACGGACGACCATGTAATCGTACTCGTGACTTCGGACGCCCACTCGTCAACGGATCCAGCTGTTATGGAAACGACGGAGTTCGGTTTCCGCGTTCAGAACCTGAGCAACCTCCGAATCATCCACATGCAGGGTCCTAAAGCGCCTGGGTGCATCCATCCCGGCGTGTGCGGGGTGGTAGAGCTGTGGAAGACGCTGTACCGTGCCTCATACCTTCGCCATTTGATGATGACACAAGCGTGGTGCGACGGGGCATTGTTCCGATACGCCCCTCCCCTGTCCATCATGGTGGACTGGATGGGTACAAGGTGGAGGGACTTGACTCCGGTTTCGGTCCATCTCAGCTGGTGGCGCGCCGGCTGTGTGCCGGCATCATGGCGGTCGTCTGTGAGAGAGTTCAAAAACCCCGTTCTCTGTGTCCTGTCCGAACCTCTTGTTCAGGAACTGGGACAGCTGCAGTACATCATAGACGAGTTCGCACGGCCAGGCCACACGCTCATGCATGCCACTGATTATGCGCACTGCGAGCTGACCCTTCTCCCGCCACGCGTGCAGCGCACAATGAACGACAGCCCACGCGCCGACGACGGCCGCGAGATAGCACTGCACACGCAACCAGGGCCGCTACTGAATGACCATCGTTGTCGCAGGCGGGTGGCGCGCGTCGTCACTGAATACCTTGTCCGTCAGGCACTAAAGCTCGGCATTGATTTGCGGGACGCGCCCGAGCGGTTTGGCGCGTCGAACGATCTGGTCGTCAGTCGTCTGCGTCGGACGCCAACCAAGCGTCCCCGTCCCTCAACTGTAACTGTTATCTGATGTGCAGCGACCACGGATTGAGGCCAGCTGATCTCGGAGTAATGGTGCGGGGGGGTTTAGAGTCTGGTTTGTAGGAGTGTCAACGGCCGTCTGTGACGTCCGCTGGAGAGTGACGTGCTACGGGGTGTCATATGCATCAGAGCAACTATGGTATTGGATGTCATGTCTATTATGTTCTTGCGAAACAGTGTAAATCGAGAGCATGTAGATAGGGTTTGCTTGCCACCTCGGATGTGCGAAACGGACCAACGCCACGTGGTGGTAGTCCATGCTTCCCGCGAGTGGGGCATGTTTGTACAAAGTTTTATTCGTAACGAGAATAAAACTGAATGTTTAGTGAAAACCGAACATTAGTGAGTATGAATCACACCCAACCACTCTTGCAACCTCGCAGCCGCATGCAAAGTAAACCCCAATTCCCCACCGAGGACTTCATGCATGCTGCGAAATCATGACACGTGTGCCCGTCATGCATATTCACCTTTCGGCGCCTAGCCCGACACAGCTGGATCTGGCGCGCTATGGTTTTGGCGCGCTATGGTTATCCTGGGGTTCCTTGTTCCAGTCTGTAGGTCTCTGAACATCAACCGACTCCGCAAAGCTTCTTTGTGTTCTGCCAAATATATTCTTCCGATGAGCGGCCATTACTGCAGACACTGTTTTGGACGCTAGAATCCCTGTACATGTATTACTGGCTACCACCACAGTACGCGTCTGAGTCTACTTAGTGCCCACCATGAACATCCAACGCATGCTTGTGCAGCGGGACAGCGTGTCCTGCGCGGCCAGTGCCCTGACCACTCTGTCTACGGAGCAGGATCGCCGTAAGCGCAAGGGGAAGCAGGAGTTGCCCCGCCCCCCGTAAGGTGACATCGGCGGGCAGCGGTGTGAGGGGCACAGGCGAGGTGCCGCCTCCGCCAAGCGACGATGTGATTGCCCGTCTTCAAAGGCCCAGCTATCAGCGCGATTTCCAGCCGTTGGCGCTTTACGGACCCCATGGAGTGGGGTGTCAACTGTCAGCACAGGACGTCCTGACGCTCGCCGACGGACAGTGTCTGGCGGACACAGTGGTGGACTTCCACAACATGTAAGCGCCGGGGAACGGTGTGCCTTATACATGCTGTATGTCCTGTCTTCATATATATACTGACGAACTATATCTTGCATATGTGTGTTACAGACTACTTAACATAAGGTACCCGAAGCTGGAAGGTGGCAAAACATGGTTTGCTCTGGACACGAAGGCGTTTACGTTCGCGAAAGACCTGAACAGGGCATGGCCCCTTGGACATGCGCCGTGTATTTTCGCACAGGACTACCTCGCCATCCCAGTGTACTACGAGTAAGGCGTATACCTCCAAGAGATCATGCTGTTGTTAGTTGCCGCGTTCCAGATCAGTCGAAGTCGAAACACGTTCCCTAACATACAGCATGCGTACATGTGTCAGGGGGCACTACTCGCTGGTCATAGCGACGAACCTCTGCACCATGGTCAGCGGGAAGCTATCCGAGACTGCCGAGGGCGGCGTCAAGCTGGTGCATTACGATAGTGCACAGTTGCACACTAATAAGCCAGAAGTGATGGAGGGCGTCAAGAGGTGAGCGGTGAATCTTATATTTGTGCCCTGACCAATCATGATAAATTCCGGTGATGCGATATATAACGAACACCGGTAACGTGCGTCATTTGCAGCATGCTGCTCCTTCTGCACAAAGCTCAGCTGCCCACTGCCGACCGGAAGCAGGCGGAGGACCATGTGAAGTATGCCGAAGTCTACGTAATGCATGTGAGTGCACTTCATGTCGCATCCATGTCGCGGGCACTGTCTGGCGCGTCGGTCAATTGACGTGTGCCTTCTCATGTTATGTGTTTCCTGGCAGCCGGAAGACCACCCACAGCAGTCGAACGCGGTAGACTGTGGGATTTATGTCGGCATGTATCTTCGCGCCCTGGTTTCATCCGGCTTTTCAATCCTCAAACAGTTCATGACGTTCTACGGCGCGAAGTCACACGCATACCGGCGCCAGCTCCGCGAAGAGGTGTCCCTCCACGCCACAGGTGACCTTATTCTGAAGCTGTTTGGGGAGGGTGTGGAGGTTCCCGTGCAGCCTCTTCCCCAGGTGGGAGAACACGGCGCCCTTGTCTTTCCCAAGGAGGACGAAGTCCGCACGGACCTCGCGAGGCAGTCAGGCATGATAGCCTGTATGGAGATAGGTGGTTAGGTTGTGTGTGCGGCTGTCATGGGCCTGGCACGTTCGCTAGGCATTTCGGAGGAACAACTGCTGAGTGGAGCGGCACACGAGCTTCAGGCACACGAGACGCCTCTGCTGGCTCTGTCCACGTCCAAGAACCCCATGGAGCACGCAGCATCTATGCGGACGCTCGGCATGTCCATCCACACGGCTCCATGTCCGCTTCCGCAGCCATCGGTCCCGTCTGCGCATTTCGAAGGGGCGTCACCCAGTAATGGTGAGCCCACACCTGCGGATGTCAGGCCCAAGAAGGAGAAGCAGGATCTCCCAGCCGCTCCAGTGACTCCGGCACCACAGCCGATGGTCTCGCGCTCTGCCAGGTATCGCCTCCGTCCGGGGATCAGGACTGCAGGACGGCCCGTGCGTCAGACCAGCATGCGGTTATCTTCCCCGCATACTAATGAACACGTATACGATAAATCTTCCAGGCTCTCTTGTTCCGTCAAAACAGATACGCACACAAACATTACGACGCTACTGCGCGAGTCCGAAGCCGGGCCACACCTCCTTGGCAATGGCCGCCTCACTATGCCCACCGTCGTTCCCTTACTCCGCCACCACACATGCATTGCATATATGGTTTATCCACAATTCTTCGCACCGGCATACGATGGCACGCATCTCCTCCTGTTGTTCCCCTGATTAGGCCTGCGGAGTACCGCGACTGACGCTTGCCTCTGCCGTCACTGCTTCGACGGCGGCGATGCCGTCGGCCGAGATGCGGAGACCATGGCGTCCCCACTCCCAGCTTTGGGACGCCTCGTCATATGCTGGTCGGAAATCCGCGATGGCGGCCCTAATAGCAGCCTTGACAAGGACGTGGAGGCCGTCCACTATCTGCGCGTTGGTGCTCGCGGATTGGGTTGGCGAAGCGACCCTGGCGCTCCTCCCAGTGATTGACCGCATCTGTCACCTGCGCACGGCAAACCACATACACGCGCACGTGAGGACACTCGCCCAGGTATTGTCGGTAGTCTAAATGACCACGGTGTTTGCGTACCACGTGCTCCAGCCATGCCACGTGGTAGAGCTTCAGTGTCACAGTCCCGTTGACCATCCTTGGCTTGAACACCGCACGCGCGCAGGCCGTAAACGCCCCAGATGCGAAAGGCATCCCTTCACGGGAGCAACTCCAGCTAGACAGCCGCAGCTTTCCTGCCACGTAACGCATAAACAAAGCGCGCATTAGATGACGGTTATCTATGCATATGTAAATCACTCCCTAATTCCCTTTCTGTGGTACCACCCCTTACCCGCCGGAACGTCGCCAAGGCCGACCCTATCTCGGATCCGGGAGAGGGTGCGCCTCGCCTTGGTCGCCCATGGACTCTTCATGTCTCGTTCGTGGCGAAAAAGTCCAATCTTCGGCAGCCCGATGCCTCGGACTCTCCCTGCCGCCGCTGTCTTCCAGTCGCTGCACGACCTGTTCAGGTCGACCCGACGTGCCTTGCACGCCGCGAGAGCCACGCTTGCATAGCTTTCCGTCAGGTTATCCACGACTGCACAGATGGCCCAAGTTTTGGCGGCGCTGCTGGGGTAGAACGTCAGCTGTGCGTTGGAGCGCCGAACGAACAGCTCGGTGCGCGCCTGCTCACATAATTCCTGCCATGTAAGCCCATACATTACGTCAGCAACCGCCACACACGGTCCCCTCTGTATACGGCACACTCTCCCACACATGTTACCTTCCAGCCTTTGTCGGTCGGGAGTAGGTCAAGCGCCTCCTGCATAATGGCAGATGGGGAGTGACGAAGGTGGCCCTCGTCCTCGTCGTCGAACCCCCCCTCCTCATCGGACGCCGTCTCTGACGTGGAGCGTGCCCGCCGCGCCTTCCGGCGCCTTTCCTTGCCGGAGCCGCGCTTGCGCCTCCTCCTCTTCTTAGCACTGCCGTCTTCTTTGGGCTTCGCAGTGAACGCCGTCTCCAACCTTGCAATCGCACGTGCCGTCTCCTCATGGAGCTCCCTCATGCTCTGCAGCTCCTCACGAGTGACCGGTGCGTCATTGGGATCACGCCTCGCGCCGGCGTCATCCTCTTCTGCGTCGGCATCAGCATTGTTCTCCGCTTCCGCACCATCCTCGTCTTGAGCGTGGACTGGGTTACGTCTGGGGAGAGCCACGTCTGGATCGTCGTCCGATGATGGCGCCGGAGGTGCGTCAGGTTCCCCGTCCACTCGTGCAGAGCCCTCGACCACGTCTTGAACAGGACGTTTGCGCCTGCGACCAGCCTTTCCGCTGGAAGCAGCTGTTCCGTCAACCTGCCGGCTTGACTGTGCAGATGAGGAACTACCTTACGAAGTGCTCCCATGCGACATACGCGAGTCCGCCCGAGTCCCACGAGACGGTGGCACGGCTGCATCTCACACCAGTAAACAAACAACGGAGTTCAGTGACAAGCGGAAAGCACATACGTGCATGCTGCGGATAATCGAAAAAGGCCGGGAAACAACAGTCGAAGCGGCAAACACATATGCAGTGCGTCTGGGGTTGGGTACTCACGTGGCGGCGAGGGAGGACCCCTGGCTTGCTGCTCGTTGGCATGCTTCGAAACATCCAGGCGAGGCTTCTTCGTCACCTTACGCCTAACGTTCCCAGGCAGAAGGTAAGAGTTCCGTAGGTAGGCAGGTGGCTGTGACACGCGCTGACTCCTCCCCTCACGTGACGACACGGTGAAACTGTCCATTGTGTACGAAAGTTGTGGGCAGGAATGAGCTTGGCGGACACATTGTCCACTACTTACGCATTCTGAGTCCACGCCAATCGTGCGACTGTGCGTTAACCCCCCATTACACGTGGCCATCAATTGTCGGACAGGCTGCGGTCGTCCTCTGGCGGGTTTTGCCCACATGGCTCAACCCTTATGCAAAGTTATCCACATATCGCGTTATAGAGTCACGCCAATCGTACAAATGCAACACATTGTGTCAAGCTCGTAAAAGTCATCCGCGACTGTGTACTCAGACAATGGATAATTTTCATTATGCGCCAGCCTGCTTGACACACACTGTCCGACATCAGCGCATAGTTGACTCCTCACAACAGGAGACAGTACTACATCTAGCATCACAAGACACATATAGTACGATGCTTCCTATACAGGTCCAACGTCAGTAAGTCTGCCTCAAGCACAGCTAGCAGCCTCGTCCAGTTTATGTGCCAGTTCCAGTTCATGCCTCCGTGCCACTACATATACGTACTCCATGTCCGTTGCGCCTAATCGCACACCGTCTCAACACCATGACCCATCCTGACTTGCACGTCTTCATCGCTGCTGCTGTTGTCCGACGACCGCGTGCCACTGTTTTCCAGTGGGAATGGAGTACCAGGCTCGATGCCCAGCTCTGCCAGCGCTGTCCTCCACTGACGCCACCTCCACCACATCCGTGCCTTGACCAGATGACGCACGTCGTCGCGAACACACCCCTCCAGGCACTCCTTCTCCTCGTCCGTCAGCTCCTTCACGTGCTGGATGTGGTCATTACGCCTGATTACAAAGGCTGCCGCGGCATACGCATACGCCGCATCGAGCTCCACAGTATAGGCGCCCCGCCGAATCTGCTGACCTGTGCCTGGGCCGCACACCATCTTGACACCCCACTTTCGGCCGCGTGCGCACCAACTCACACCTGTCCAGCGGCTGGATGAGACTGCAGATTGTTTAATGAGGCAGACACTTGATGCGCACGGCGAGAAATGGTCACAACCGCGTTATGCGCCTCGGATGTGTGCCGTTGGATGCGGGTGGATAGTAGTGGCGATTCGGCTCGGGACGGTCCAACCCACCACATCGTAGGGCCGTGCGTGCCCTATGCCTACTGGAGCCGTATATGCGACTGCAGCGGCAGGCATGTGTACCGTTGGATGTTGGTGTGGTAGACGGTCGAGGGCGGGACATATGGGCCAGCTTCGTTGGCGCCGTGTAACGTGTACTTTGGCCACGTGGGCCTTCATTTACGGACGGGAGTAATCACACGTCAACAATGGTGAGATACTGCTGGCGATCGAGACCGCGACATATCGTCGATGCATGTGTACGTGTACGGTCGGATGCACAGGTAGCTTACACATGCATAGATCCAGACATAGTTACAGCCGTACACCTGGTACCCAATTCAACGGCATCCGACGAATCCACGTGGTGGGATGGCGACATGCTGTGCCAAACTTCGACCAATGGGGATATGGGGAAATCATGGGATGGCGCTGGGGCATTGGTCACATCGGACGACAACTAAGGGGGTGGATGCAATTCTAGGTTGATCGTGGTCGTCCACGTGAAGGCAGTTGGTTAACCAGGACCATGATTCGAGTCGCTTTGTAGTGTACAAGTACTGTAACTGACGGTATGTCACGCTGACGTCATGGTCGCCACGTGTATGGTTGTCGTAAGATTGCGTCTAATTGTGGCATTTGTTATTTACCCCACCGAGTAGTTCCTGTGGTGACCGGTGCGTGACTTGAATGTGACCGAGCAGTGACGGTGGCTGGGACGCGGGAGAAGCTTTTACGTGACATTTCCGTGACATCACCGTCACATTGGAAGTGACGGTGGGTTCGGTACTTTCATCCATCACCTTTTTACCCCAAAAAAACGTATACGAAAATGTAACGGAAATGTCACATTTTCGTAACTTCTGGCCCTTGGCTTTTCCGCGATGCCTTATTCATCCAACCAACCTCCATCCCAACCTTTCCCCATACTGTCCATTTCACGCAGCGCCGCACAAGCTAGAACGGAAATGCTTGCGGCGTCATCCGTCCATCCATCATAGTGCACCTTGCGCCGACGCTTCGTGAGAGTACCTGCAAAGACCAAGTCGAAACGAGCATTACTAGTTAGATGCACGAAACCGGAGTTCCGCCGCCGCGGCGTACTACTACAGCTAACAGCCTGTTATAAAAACGAGCGCATGCACTGAGTGCGCGGCAGCAACAGATATAAAACGAGCAACGCGCACAGGCAACGTGCGTGCAGAGAGTTTATGCAACGTCGTCGTGTACGTGTAACAAGGTTACGGGCGACGAGGTAACAAGTGACGCCTGCAGGCGACTATAGGGTGTGTTGCACCGGGGATGGGGAAGCGCGGCGGCGTCATGATGGCGGCGAGAGCGGCGGCGGTGGTGGCGCTGGTGGTGGCGCGCTGCTGCATGCCCCTCGCACGCGCTGCTCCCGTGGTGGACGCGGAGAGTAAGCCGTTTAAGCCGTGCTGCATGCTGTTTATCCCTCCACATCCTCCTTTTGACAGCCAGAGGTCCCTGACAGTACGCGGCCGTGCCATGTGCCATACCGCCCCAGGACCGTAACCCTATTCAGCATGCAACATGGAATCTGCACCGCACCAACAACTACTTATCTCTGCTGCTTGCAGCTGTCCCTCCTGCTATCCCCACCTCAATCATTCCTCTACCCTCACCCTGTTCCTCTCGCCTGCCACCGTGAAATATTTTCCACACGTTCTGTGGCGTGCCATGCCACCTTGCCGGGGTGGTATGGCGCGGGAGAATGGCATGAATGGATGGCATGAATGGATGGCATGATTGGATGGCAGTGGAAGCCTTGGAGAATCTGGCACATGAATGCAGCGACGTCGACACTAGGAGCACATGGATGAGGGACAGGGATTGCGACAGCATGGATGCCGTGGAGTGTGATGGTGACGGGCATGTTATTGCACTGTAAGCATGTCATTGCACTGTAAGCATGTCATTGCACTGTAAGCATGTCATTGCACTGTAAGCATGTCATTGCACTGTAAGCATGTTATTGCACTGTAAGCATGTCATTGCACTGTAAGCATGTTATTGCACTGTAAGCATGTCATTGCACTGTAAGCATGTCATTGCACTGTAAGCATGTTATTGCACTGTAAGCATGTCATTGCACTGTAAGCATGTCATTGCACTGTAAGCATGTTATTGCACTGTAAGCATGTTATTGCACTGTAAGCATGTTATTGCACTGTAAGCATGTCATTGCACTGTAAGCATGTTATTGCACTGTAAGCATGTCATTGCACTGTAAGCATGTCATTGCACTGTAAGCATGTTATTGCACTGTAAGCATGTCATTGCACTGTAAGCATGTTATTGCACTGTAAGCATGTCATTGCACTGTAAGCATGTTATTGCACTGTAAGCATGTCATTGCACTGTAAGCATGTTATTGCACTGTAAGCATGTCATTGCACTGTAAGCATGTCATTGCACTGTAAGCATGTCATTGCACTGTAAGCATGTCATTGCACTGTAAGCATGTCATTGCACTGTAAGCATGTTATTGCACTGTAAGCATGTCATTGCACTGTAAGCATGTTATTGCACTGTAAGCATGTCATTGCACTGTAAGCATGTTATTGCACTGTAAGCATGTCATTGCACTGTAAGCATGTTATTGCACTGTAAGCATGTCATTGCACTGTAAGCATGTCATTGCACTGTAAGCATGTTATTGCACTGTAAGCATGTCATTGCACTGTAAGCATGTCATTGCACTGTAAGCATGTTATTGCACTGTAAGCATGTTATTGCACTGTAAGCATGTTATTGCACTGTAAGCATGTCATTGCACTGTAAGCATGTTATTGCACTGTAAGCATGTCATTGCACTGTAAGCATGTCATTGCACTGTAAGCATGTTATTGCACTGTAAGCATGTCATTGCACTGTAAGCATGTTATTGCACTGTAAGCATGTCATTGCACTGTAAGCATGTTATTGCACTGTAAGCATGTCATTGCACTGTAAGCATGTTATTGCACTGTAAGCATGTCATTGCACTGTAAGCATGTTATTGCACTGTAAGCATGTCATTGCACTGTAAGCATGTTATTGCACTGTAAGCATGTCATTGCACTGTAAGCATGTTATTGCACTGTAAGCATGTCATTGCACTGTAAGCATGTCATTGCACTGTAAGCATGTTATTGCACTGTAAGCATGTCATTGCACTGTAAGCATGTCATTGCACTGTAAGCATGTTATTGCACTGTAAGCATGTTATTGCACTGTAAGCATGTTATTGCACTGTAAGCATGTCATTGCACTGTAAGCATGTTATTGCACTGTAAGCATGTCATTGCACTGTAAGCATGTCATTGCACTGTAAGCATGTCATTGCACTGTAAGCATGTTATTGCACTGTAAGCATGTCATTGCACTGTAAGCATGTTATTGCACTGTAAGCATGTCATTGCACTGTAAGCATGTTATTGCACTGTAAGCATGTCATTGCACTGTAAGCATGTTATTGCACTGTAAGCATGTCATTGCACTGTAAGCATGTCATTGCACTGTAAGCATGTTATTGCACTGTAAGCATGTTATTGCACTGTAAGCATGTCATTGCACTGTAAGCATGTTATTGCACTGTAAGCATGTCATTGCACTGTAAGCATGTTATTGCACTGTAAGCATGTCATTGCACTGTAAGCATGTTATTGCACTGTAAGCATGTCATTGCACTGTAAGCATGTCATTGCACTGTAAGCATGTTATTGCACTGTAAGCATGTCATTGCACTGTAAGCATGTCATTGCACTGTAAGCATGTTATTGCACTGTAAGCATGTTATTGCACTGTAAGCATGTTATTGCACTGTAAGCATGTCATTGCACTGTAAGCATGTTATTGCACTGTAAGCATGTCATTGCACTGTAAGCATGTCATTGCACTGTAAGCATGTTATTGCACTGTAAGCATGTCATTGCACTGTAAGCATGTCATTGCACTGTAAGCATGTTATTGCACTGTAAGCATGTTATTGCACTGTAAGCATGTCATTGCACTGTAAGCATGTTATTGCACTGTAAGCATGTCATTGCACTGTAAGCATGTCATTGCACTGTAAGCATGTCATTGCACTGTAAGCATGTCATTGCACTGTAAGCATGTCATTGCACTGTAAGCATGTTATTGCACTGTAAGCATGTCATTGCACTGTAAGCATGTTATTGCACTGTAAGCATGTCATTGCACTGTAAGCATGTCATTGCACTGTAAGCATGTCATTGCACTGTAAGCATGTCATTGCACTGTAAGCATGTTATTGCACTGTAAGCATGTCATTGCACTGTAAGCATGTCATTGCACTGTAAGCATGTCATTGCACTGTAAGCATGTCATTGCACTGTAAGCATGTCGTTGCACTGTAAGCATGTCGTTGCACTGTAAGCATGTCGTTGCACTGTAAGCATGTCGTTGCACTGTAAGCATGTCGTTGCACTGTAAGCATGTCGTTGCACTGTAAGCATGTCATTGCACTGTAAGCATGTCATTGCACTGTAAGCATGTCATTGCACTGTAAGCATGTCATTGCACTGTAAGCATGTCATTGCACTGTAAGCATGTTATTGCACTGTAAGCATGTCATTGCACTGTAAGCATGTTATTGCACTGTAAGCATGTCATTGCACTGTAAGCATGTCATTGCACTGTAAGCATGTTATTGCACTGTAAGCATGTCATTGCACTGTAAGCATGTCATTGCACTGTAAGCATGTCATTGCACTGTAAGCATGTTATTGCACTGTAAGCATGTTATTGCACTGTAAGCATGTCATTGCACTGTAAGCATGTCATTGCACTGT